GTATTTTTGGTAGAGACGGGGTTTCACCATGTTGGCCAGGATGGTCTCGATCTCTTGACCTCGTGATCCACCCACCTCAGCCTCCCAAAGTGCTGGGATTACAGGCGTGAGCCACTGCGCCCGGCCCACGGTGAGTCTTAATGTTCTCAGTCCATGAAGTCATGAAGACCCCCTTCCCTTTCCCCCTGCAGACCCCAACTCCAGGGGTCACTCACCCTGGGATTTCTGCGCCATCTGGTCACCCTGGTATCTTTCAAAGTACTTGGAAACTTGAGAGACTGGAGTGGCAGGAGAGAAGATATATCCCAGTAACCTCAAAGGCAGGTCCTCGGACCCCGCCCATGCCCCAGGCTCAGGGACCCGTTCACACAGTCACCGCCCATGCCCCAGGCTCAGGGACTCGTTCACATAGTCACAACAGCTGCTGCTGCTTCTCACTCATTTATGCAAGAATATAATGAACCTGCCTAGCTTTCCCTCACCAGGATTAACTGTAAAAGCAATAGGCATCTATCAGAGCACTTCACAAATCTTAGAGCTTGTTTCTATCTCGTGGTGCTAAAAATATATCCATTTTACAGATGAGGAAATGGAGGCACAAAGCAGTTACAAACTCCTTACGCTACAGATGTGTAAGGCTGCGGATTTACAATGGCTCAACTTAAAATAGTTCGAGTTACAATGGCTCGACTTTAGGATGGTGTGAAAGCAACGTGCATAGTGGAAACCCTATTTCTCTTGCAATGCTGGGCAGTGGTGGGGAGCCTAAGCCTTCAGGCAGCCACGCAGTTTTGACTTACACTATTTCCAATGTACTATAGGCTGACGGGGACATAACCCCACTGCAAGTGGAAGAGTGTCTGTATTCAGATGCTATCAGGCAGTTTTCCAAGTTCCCTGGGTCCCCACCTTCCCTAGGACGCGGAGCAACTTATGCTGACCCTCAGTTCCTTAGAGAGGGGACACTGAGGCGCAGGGAGGAGCGGGATGAGAGCTGGGCGTCCTAACCCTCACTCCCACCCCCCTCTACCTTGGCTCCTGCATACCGTTCAGGGCAGCTCTCTCTTCCAGCTGTTTCAGATTCTGTGTGGTGTCCCCGTCTGGGGAGGGAGAGAGAAGAGGCGTGGAGAGGGGGAATTGTCAGGTGCCCCCACCTGCCTGCACCCACCTCCCAGCTGGGGATGGAGGGCTTGGGTAAAGCCATAGCGGTGCTTAAGGGTGGAGGACAGAGATGCTGGGTGGGGTGAGGGGCTCTGGCAGTTGGGGCATGGGGAGAGCTGGCAGTGTCAAGGTGGGAGGTTGGGCTTTTGCAGTAAGTTGGGCTCCCCAGGCTCTGAGATGGGGGTGTGGGAGGGAACACAGAGGGGCTTCGTGGGTACGGGGGACCACATGGGGCTGGGGGTGTCCTCACGCCATAGGAGAAGCAGAGTCAGCAGCCCAGCCCACAGAGCAGTGGTCAGCAGCCCCAGCAGCACAGTCTGAGTCCAGTGCTTGTGGCACCCCTTCTTCCTGGAAAGCTCCTCGATCTCTGCCGGGCGTTGGAGGGACTGACTATGGGTGCAGGGTGAGGCTGGACTCTGGCTCTGTCTGTCTCCTCATTACCCAGAACCCCTGACAGCCTTGGAGCCTGTCCAGAGCCCACACTGAAGCAGAGGGTCCCAGTGGACCCCTAGCTCCCATATGCACAGCTTCCTTACCTGACTTAGATCTGGGTCGCTATCCACAGAGACAGATCTGGGACCAAGAGCTAAGACTCCCTCAGCCCCCCAACTAATGCCAGGCCCCCAGCCTCACTTCCAGGAGACTGGGTCCTGTTTTTTCCTTCCTCCCTTAACCCCAGCTCCCACCCTTATACCTCTGCACCTTCAAGCTCTACCCTGTTGCCTGTCCCCAACCCGGAACCCCTTCCCTAAATGTAGGACACCAAGTCCCAGTTCTTCCCAATATCGGAGCCACTCTCCAGCCCCTTTCCCAGTTACCACCCAACACCCGGACCTCCAAAGCTCACCCAGGCCCCACGCAACACCTGGACCTCCAAAGATCTACCTGGATGTCCCACCCCAAGCCCCTGGCCCACTGCACTCACCCTGGCTTGGAGGATTCATTATGCTAAATTCTGCTTGTTCCAAGTTCCTGTTCTACTTAGCCACCAACTCTATTGGACTCCCAGCTCCCTAGCTAGAGCCGGTTTTTTTTGGGGGGGGGGGGCGGGAGAAGGGTGTTAAGTCAGAAAAAGGAGGGGCCATCAATTTCTTCTCCTTCCTGGCTCTCCACCAGGAAAGTCAGTCCTGCATCACTTCCTTACCCACGCTCGGTTCTGTTCTCAGAAATTCACCCTCCTTCTCAGAGAGGGACTGGGAAGCCCCCTTCTCTCCTGGGTGAAAGGCCGTAGGGAAGCATCTTTGCTTCTGCCAGTGTTAGAACCAGAGGGTCCTCCTACCTGAATATTGACCTTCCTCCATGGCAGTCCTGCTTGGATTCTCCCGACGATGGGGCACTCACTCCCTGACAAGGCAATCCACTTAGCGGGCACAGTCACAGCTCTGGCTGGAATCTGGGTTTGAATGATGGTTAGGGTGAGGCGACAAACCCTAGTTACCGGCGCAGGAAAGCATCTGGGACTTGGGGGACTCAGTGACCATTTGCTGATCTTGTTTAGTCTACAATCTGGAGTGAGTAGGGCGGTTAGTAGGGAGACAGCTACTGTGGAGAGACAGCAGCCTGCGATCGGACGTGGGGCACCCCAGAGCCCATCACACTTGAGTTACACAGCAGGTGCACCCATGTGACCTCGACAAATGGCTTAATTAACCTGGAAACTTCCTTCCTCCTCTGTAAAATGATGATACTGAGAATACCTATACTGCTGGTTGGTGAGCCGTGCTAAAAATATCACCAGCTTTTATTCTAATTGCTTTGCCTGTGTGACCTCAGCTAAGGAGTCAACCATTCTCAGCCTCAATTTTCCCCTCTGTAAAATGGGCTGAGGACAGCACCCAACTCATAAGGCCAAGATAGGATCAAATGAGATCACAACATACCTGAGGCTTTTGGTGCCGTGCAGCGCACAGTGGGTCTTCAGATACTAAACGTTTATGAAGCATCTACTCCGTGCTATGTCCTACTGGGAAATGCTAAGAGCCCATGACCCAGGCCTCAGCCTTCTCCTCTGCCAACGTGCCCAGGGCACCTGGAAAATGCTCTGACTTTACTTATTTATTTTGAGATGGAGTCTCACTCTGTTGCCCAGGCTGGAGTGCAGTGGCATGAACTTAGCTCACTGCAACCTCCACCTCCCAGGTTCAAGCAATTCTCCTGTCTCAGCCTCCTAAGTAGCCGGGATTACAAGCACATGCCACCATCCCCAGGTAATTTTTATATTTTAGTAGAGACAGGTTTTCACCGTATTGATCAGGCTGGTCTCGAACTCCTGACCTCAGGTGATCCACCTGCCTCTGCCTCCCAAAATGCTGGGATTACAGGCATGAGCCACTGCACCTGACCAAGTCCTCTGACTTTATTTCATTTTATTTTTTGAGACGAAGTCTCGCTCTGTCACCAGGCTGCAGTGCAGTGGTGCAATCTCAGCTTACTGCAACCTCCACCTCCAGGGTTCAAGCAATTCTCCTGCCTCAGCCTCCCAAGTAGCTGGGACTACAGGTGTGTGTCACCACGCCTGGCTAAGTTTTGTATTTTAGTAGAGACAGGGTTTTACCATATTGATGGAGCTGGTCTCAAACTCCTCACCTCAGGTGATCCATGCACCTCAGCCTCCCAAAGTGTTGGGATTACGGGTGTGAGCCACCGCGCCTGACCAAGTGCTTTGACTTTAAAGCATCTACTATGTGCTGAGGAGCATGAGACTTGGGGTCATTCAGGCCTGGAGGTCACTGGCTACCTTCTTTCGCTGCCTGACTATAGGTAAGTCCCTTATCTCGGAGCCTCAGGGAGGTGGGGGTGTGGGGCAGCCAGGCTCTGATGAGTGGCAGCTCAAGCTGGCCCTTTTGATATTGAGAGGAGTCCAGAGATGTCACCATCCTGGGACTCCGGCTGCAAGGGAGGCAGCCGGACAGACCTGAGCCAAGTCCCGGCTTCTCCCTGGGTGAGCAACTCAGTTTCCTCATCTGTAAATTGGGCATATTCAAAGCACCGGCACACAGTAGGTGGTCAGTAAACCTATGGCAGGATGCTGGGGGAGCGTCCCCATTCTGTGGGGCCTCTCTCAGTGGAACTGAGGTACCAAGAGGGAAAGTCATTTGTCCCCGTTGTGCAGTGGTGGGGCTGGGACTCAAACCCTAGATATTTGACCTGGGAGCCTATTTGCTCAATCATTGGGAGACACCGACTCCTGGTGGAGTGTCTACTGCTAAGTGTCGGATGGCAGGATCCCAACTCCAGGCCTTCCTTCTAACCCAAGAGGTCCTGCCTCTGTCTAGAGCCTTCCATGGCTCCCCAGCGTCCTCTATGATCGGCCCAGCACACTCACCAGGCTCATCTCAGACCAGATGGCCTGCTTTCACTTCCCCAAATCAGGATCTGAATGCCTCCAGATTCTGTCCACACTGTGGTCCCCACCCCACCACCGCCCACCACCTCCCTTCTCTGGCTTCGACCTCTTCCTGGTCATCCCTTGAGGCTCAGCCCAAGGGCGCTTCAATCTCCGCTTCCCAGGGCCACCCCAACACACACAGATACGTACTCAGGAAGCGGAGTTTGGAGCCTGTGTCTGTCCTCCCACTGCGTTGGGGTCGACCAGAGAGATTGGCAGGGACCGTCAGGGACAGAGGTTTAAGCAGGAAGAGACACTTTCTTCAGAAAGCAGACCAGCTGACAGTCGCTATTTTCATAGACCTAAATATGGGCTTGCCACCCGGATAACGTTACACGCATGGCCTCTCCTGGCATTCCCCACGCCCCAGTGAAGTCCGTGCTATTATTACCTCCACTTCTCAGGTAAGAGAATCGGGTGAGAACCAGAGATCCTAAGAAGGGAGTTCCCACAGGGCTGAAGGAGGTGCACGGCAGCGTTAAGATTTGAACCAGGGGTATCGCAGACTGAATCATTATGCCACTAGGGCAGATTGCATAGGGCCCTGGGGAGCCATGGAACGCTCTAGGCAGAGGTGGGACCTCTTGGATTAGAAGGACGGCCTGGAGTTGGGATCCCGCCACCCGACACTTACCAGCAGACGCTCCACTATGATTATGTCTCTCGATGATTGAGCAAATAGGCTCCCAGTTCAAATGTCCCAGGTTTGAGTACCAGCAAGAAGAAAGGGAAGCGGAAAGAGAGGCAGAGGAAGGGAAGAAAAAGACAGGAAGAAAGAGGGGAAGAAGGAGGAACAGGAGGGAAGGAGGGAAAGAGGAAAAAGAAAGATACGTGAGATAGCATTCAGTCAAATGTGGACAATTGCGGCCGGGTGTGGTGGCTCATGCCTGTAATCCCAGCACTTTGGGAGGCTGAGGTGGGAGGATCAGTTGAGCCTAGGAGTTCAAGACCAGCATGGGCAGCATAGCAAGCTGTCGTCTCTACAAAAAAATACATAAAAATTAGCAGGCATGGTGGTGCATGTCTGTGGTCCCAGCTACTGGGGAGGCGGAGGTGGGAGAATCACTTGAGCCCAGGAGCTTGAGATCAGCCTGGGCAACACAGTGAGATCCCATCTCAAAAAAAGAAAGAGAGAGAAGGAAGGAAGGAAGGAAGGAAAGAGGAAGAGAGGGGAAGGAGGGGAGGAAGGGAAGGAAGAAAGGAAAGAAAAGAAAGAAAAGAGAGGAAGAGAGGGAAGGGAGGGAAGGAAGGAAAGAAAAGAAAGAGAAAATGAGGAAGGAAGGGAGGGAGGGAGGGAGGGAGGAAGGAAGGAAGGACAAGACTAGACCAAACTCCATCCCAGCTCCATCCTGGAACTAGAATTCACCCCCATGTTCCCAAGCTTCCTCCTCCTCCTCCTCCTGTGTCCCCATTGCTGGGACAGTCCGTCCGTCCACCCAGACACTCCACCCGGCCCAGGCCTTGTCCAAGCACTTCCTGATCCTCCACCCCACCCTTCACCCAGCACCGAGGTCTGGCTCTTCCTAAAAATATATCCTGCTTCTCCTCATCCTCACAGCCGCTGCCCCTGGCTACTCCCCAACCCCCCAGACCAGATGACACCTCCTCTTAGGTCCCCCTGCCTGGCCTGCCTTGTCCCTGGAGCAGCCTCCTCCCGGACCTCCCCACTCCCATTCCACCCCCATGACAGCCCCACCTCCTGTCTTGCCCCCCAAACAGACTCTCCAGGGTCCTCACTTCCACCTGGCCTCCACGGCAGACCCCCCGGGGGGTCCCCAACCCCATCTACTCCCAAGACAAATCCCCCAGTGACCCCACCTGGCTTGGCCTCAAATGCTATCGTATGTCCACCCAGCAGCCCCCAGTGACCTCTCCAGTACTCACTGGCCAATTCTTTGCTTTTTTTTTCTTTGAGACAGAGCCTTGCTGTGTCTCTCAGGCTGGAGTGCAGTGGGGCGATCTCAGCTCACTATAACCTTGCCTTCCTGATTCAAGTGATTCTCTTGCCTCAGCCTCCCAAGTGCCTGGGATTATACAAATGCACCACCACGCCCACTAATCTTTTGTATTATTAGTAGCGATGGGGTTTTGCCAAGTTGTTCAGGCTGGTCTCGAACTCCTGGTCTCCGGTGAGCCACTCGCCTCAGCCTCCCAAAGTGCTGGGATTACAGGCATGAGCCGCACGCCCGGGGTCTCCCTCCTTTCTTTACCATCTTAATTCTCGGCCAGATCAAGGTGGAGGGGACATTTGGGGCTCAAAATGAACAGCCTCAGACCACCAGGGTCACTCAACAGGCATGCACCAAGGGCCACTGGGTCCAGGGTGACAGACAAGGCAGCATGGTCCCAGCTGTTCTGGAGGGCAGGGTCCCGGGGACATTCCAGCCAGGCCCCTCCCTGACACGGCGGGGACGTTCAGCCCCAGTGGATGGCCAGCCCAGCTGCCCCCCCCCCCGGTTGCGAGATGAGTTGTAGGGGCACAGGTGGGCATCTTCTGGAGTGAGAGAAGAAAGCCCTTCTCTGTTTCTTCCCTGAACGGCAACCACCTGCCCATGTCTTCTCTCTGCCTACAACCGTCCATGGCTCCCTTCTGCCCTGGACATGGGAGGTGGCCCACCCAGGAGTGGGGATTTACAGTTCCCAGTTGAGAGTGAGGAGGGGGTAAAGGATCAGGGAACGCATTTTGGAGAGGATAAGGAGGGTGGGCAAAGTGCCAAGGGGTCTTAGTAAATAGAAGGCTAGGTGGCATAGTGGCCAGGGCTGCAGATGCCTGACACACACTACCTGGGTTCAAATTCCTGGCTCTGCCATTGAAGTGCTGTGTGACCTTTGGCAAGTTACTTAACCTCTCTGTGCTTCACATAAAGCAGCATTGATCACCAAAGCTTCAAATTCCTAGGGTGGTGGTGAAAATAAGATGTTTAATATGCACATGAGACACTAAGAACTGTGCCCGGCCAGGCGTGGCGGCTCACGCCTGTAATCATAACACTTTGGGAAGCTGAGGTGAGTGTATTACCTGAGGAGTTTGAGACCAGCCTGGCCAGCACGTTGAAACCTCGTCTCTACCAAAAAATACAAAAATTATCCAGGAGTGGTGGCGGGCACCTGTAATCACAGTTACTCAACCAGGAGGTTGAGGCAGGAGAATTGCTTGAACCCGGGAGGCGGAGGTTGCAGTAAGCTGAGATCGCACCACTGCACTGCAGCCTGGGTGACAGAGTGAGACCCTGTCTCAACAAACAAACAAACAATCCCAGTGCCCAGCATCTGTTGCTGCTAAGTTAAACTATAGAACAAAGTCATCTGTATATTTTTAGAGACAGGGTCTCACTGACTCCCAGGCTGGAGTGCAGTGGTGTGATCACGACTCACTGCAGGTAGTGTGTGTCAAGCATCTGCAGCCCTGGCCACTATGCCACCTAGCCTTCTATTTACTAAGACCCCTTGGCACTTTGCCCACCCTCCTTATCCTCTCCAAAAAATTAACCACCATGCCTGGTTAATTTTTAAAATTTTTTGTAGTGATAGGGTCTCACTATGTTGCCCAGGCTGGTCTCGAACTCCTGGGCTCAAGCAATCTTCCTGCCTCAGCCTCCCAAAGCAGGGGTTACAGGCATAAGCCACTGTCCCAGCTGGAGTTTGGTGTTTCTGAGCTCTACAAGCGCAGGGGCCCCAGCCCAGCCCCACCCCACCCCCACTCCCGCCCCCTCCCCTGGCTCCACCTTCCCGGTGCGAAAGCCCCCTGCCTGCAGCTCAAACACTAGAATGCTCTGGGGCCCCAGGGACCCAGTCACGGGACTGCCCCACCTGCGTCCCCTCTGCGGTGTCAACACACCTCCTGGTCACTTCAGGCAAAAAACAGAAAGCTGTGCGGATGTGGGCCCCAGATCTGTGGGTGTTGGTTCTTCTTTCAGATTTGGGATCCTCTGCGCGTTGGGGGAGCGGCGTCTCTCACCTCGTTTGACCTAGATCAGGACTCAAATGGAAGGAATTTGGGGTATCCAGCAATGACGACCCTAAACCATCCCCAGCGGAGTTCTCATCCCAGCAGCCCCCGCTGCCCCCCCGACCAGCTCCAGCTCAGCTACATCTCAATCCCCTCACCCCACGATGCTCTGATCCCAGCTCTAACCTTTGCTTGGCACAGGTCTAAGGCATGTCCCAGGCTCTAATCATGGAACCTCCATACTGGGGACAGGACCTGGCTCCGTGTCCCAACGGGATGGAGCCAGGCAACCCTGACCCTAACTCCATCCCGACGCAGCCCTGGGCTCCTCTACCTGTTTAACCTCTCCTGGGGTTACGAGGGGGAGAAGGAAAGGGTGTGGGGTTGGGGAGGAAGGGCAGGAGGTGTGTCAAATCCAGAGGGCTTCCAGGAGGAGGTGTGTTCAAAGCTGGGTTCCTCCCACACTGCACTGTTGACTTTGGGGCTGATGATTCCTTGCTGGGATGCCGTCCTGTGCATTGTTCGATGTTTAGAAGCATCTCTGGTCACTTGTAGCCAAGAGTCATCACGGCTGAGAAGCACTGCTTTGAAAACATGATTCCTAGATCATGCTTTGGTTTGTTTACATTGTGGCAAAATATGCATAACATAAAATCTACCATCGTAACCGTTTGAGACAGAGTCTTACTCTCACCAGGCTGGAGTGCAATGGCTTGATCTTGGCTTACCGCAACCTCCACCTCCCAGGTTCAAGCGATTCTCCTGCCTTAGCCTCCTGAGTAGCTGGGATTGCAGGTGTTCGCCACCACACCTGGCTAACTTTTTATATTTTAGTAGAGACGGGGTTTCACCACGTTGGCCAGGATGGTCTCGATCTCCTGACCTCGTGATCCGCCCGCCTCGGCCTCCCAAAGTGCTGGGATTATAGGTGTGAGCCACCGCACGCAGCTGGAATTTGGAGTTTTTGAGCTCTACAAGCTCTGCAGGCCCAGGTGTCCCTCCTGGGACTGGGGCCCCCAGAGGCAAAACCTGTGCTCCTCTCCTAGCAGGGCCAGGAGGGCAGCCTGGAGTCACAGTCACACACACCCCTCTCCCTCCCCTTCCCGACCCTCACTAAGGCAGAGAGCCCACCAACAGGAAGAGGAAAGGGGTATGTGGGGTGAGAAGAGCCTGGAGCTGCACTTCTGCATTCCTGGAACCTTGGGATCTGGAGCCCAGCTGTCTTGTTGGTGTGGATTGTGGCAGTGGGGCGGGGAGAGCTTGCGGGGACTGGTATGTGTGGCCGGGAGTCCTCAGGATGAGAGGGGACACAGAGATGGGCCTGTCTGCACCCTTCCCTCCAGATGGCCCCCCGGAACTCCAGGAGGGGGGTCCTGGATCCCCCTACTCGTTGCCTCCCTGTCCCCTCCCCTCAAGGCCCCAGGATACTTCCAGGGACCAGAGAGCTGAGCCAGCAGGTCCTGGGACTCCAGAGAGCAGCCCAGGCACAGCCTGGGAGATTTGGGGATTTCTCTCCAAATGCCCTCAAAGACCCCAAAATCCTGGACTCCAGGCTCTATCCTCACAGACCCAGGCCTTCACCTTCCTGGAGACCCAGGAAGCCAGGCCCCCAGACCCCATCCTCAGGGATCCAGGCTTAGTCTCTTAAAGACCCAGGAAGCCAAGGCCTCAGACCCTACCCTCAGGGACTCAGGCTTAGTCTCTTAAAGACCCAGGAAGCCAAGACCCCAGACCCCACCCTCAGGGACTCAGGCTTAGTCTCTTAAAGACCCAGGAAGCCAGGCCCCCAGACCCCATCCTCAGAGACCCAGGCTTAGTCTCTTAAAGACCCAGGAAGACAGGTCCCCAGACCCCACCCTCAGGGACCCAGGCTTAGTCTCTTAAAGACCCAGGAAGCCAGGTCCCCAGACCCCACCCTCAGGGACCCAGGCTTAGTCTCTTAAAGACCCAGGCAGCCAGGCCCCCAGACCCCTAGGAATTTGGTATGAGATCTCGTGTTTTTCTCCTCCATCCCTGCTGTTCTCGTGCCAGTTTCTGGGTCTGCCAGGACAGTGTGTTGCGGGGGGTGCTGCCTCTTTGCTGGACGCACCTGGTCACTGTCCCCACTGGGTAAACCCTGATATGGGTGAGTAAAGGCCGTGGGGGCCCAGGCCAGCTGCACCTGCTTACCTGCTATGTGACTTAATCCTCTCTGGGCCTCAGTTTCCTCATCTGTAAAATGGGGATAAACACAGTTCTCTCACATAGGTTGCTGTGTGCATAAAGCCTTCAGCCCAATGCCAGATATGGGGAGGCTCTCAATACACAGGAGTATTTTTAGTACATTTTCCTGAAAAACGTCTCTCCCATAATTAACCAGCCCCCAACCCGGCAGCCTACAAGGCTGTGTGTGGCTGACACCTTCCCCTCTCCATTGCCTCCTCTGTACGCCCCTCCAGTGGCAATGGCCTGCCTTTCTGTTTCATTTTTGGAGAGATGGTCTCGCTCTGTTGCCCAGGCTGGAGTGCAGTGGTATGATCATGGCTCACCGCAGCTTCAACTTCCTGGGCTCAGGTGATCCTCCCACCTCAGCCTCCTGAGTAGCTTGGTCTACAGGCATGTGCCACCACACCTAGCTAATATTTTATTTTTAATTAATTAATTAATTTTTTAAAATGGAGTCTCACTCTGTCACCCAGGCTGGAGTGCAGTGGTGCGATTTCGGCTCACTACAATCTCCTCTTCCCAGGTTCAAGCGATTCTCCTGCCTCAGCCTCCGGGGTAGCTGGGATTACAGGTGCATGCCACCATGCCTGGCTAATTTTTTGTATTTTCAGTAGAGACAGGGTTTGGCCAGGCTGGTCTCAAACTCCTGACCTCCTGAACTCCGCCCCCCTCAGCCTCCCAAAGTGCTGGGATTACAGGCATGAGCCACCAGGTCCTGCTCCTTCTTCACTTTCACAGCCAGAAGCACAGCCTCTTCCAATCTCTCTCTGACTCTCATCCTCCTGCCTCTTCTTGTAAGGACTCTGATGACATGGGGCCACCTGGAGAATCCAGGGCGATCTCCCATCTCAAGACCCTTAATGTAATTCTACCTTCAGACCCCCTTTGCCATAGAAGGTGACCTGTTCACCGGTTCCAGGGATTAGGATGTAGACATCTTTGGGGAGCTGTTATTCGGCTGACCACAATACCCTAAGAGACAGATGCTGTTATTATTATTTTATGTTTGAGAGGAGTGTCACTCTGTTGCACAGGCTGGACTGCGGTGGCGTGATCTCGGCTCACTGCAGCCTCCTCGTCCCAGGCTCAAGTGATTCTTGTGCCTCAGCCTTCCCAGTAGCTGAGACTACAGGTGCGCACCACCACGCCTGGCTAATTTTTTGTATTTTTAGTAGAGACGGGGTTTCACCATGTTGGCCAGGATGGTCTCGATCTCTTGACCTCGTGATCCACCCACCTCGGCCTCCCAAAGTGCTGGGATTACAGGCGTGAGTCACCTCGCCCGGCTTATTATTTTTATTTTTAAGAGGAGTCTTGCTCTGTTGCCCAGGCTGGAGTGTAGTGGCGTGATCTCGGCTCACTGCAGCCTCCTTGTCCCAGGTTCAAGCAATTCTCGTGCCTCTGCCTTTCCAGGAGCTGGGACTACAGGCGTGCACCACCATGCTCGGCTAATTTTTGTAATTTTTAGTGGAGATGGGGTTTCCCTATGTTGGCCAAGCTGGTGTTGAACTCCTGGCCTTAAATAATTCACCTGCCTGGGCCTCCCAAAGTGCCGGCGTTACAGGAGTGAGCTACCGTGCCCGCCAAAACTCTGGGTGTTTTCTTGGTGTCTGCTACATTCATCCTTCGGAGCTGCGTCTGGCTCTGGGGATACAAAGAAAAGAGACAGGAAAGGTAAGAATCCTCATGGGGTTTTGGGGGACAGACCTGTCGAGGAGACTGCCTGCCCTCTTTGGAGAGCCCCCTGGGGACTTCCCCACACTCCCCAGCCTTCCTAGGAAGAAGCCCTCGGGATCTGAGGGGGTTTCCTGGGATCGGGGGAGAGGGGTGGGAGGCTGATAAGAACAGACTACTCTGTCTCAAAGACATGTCCTTGGAAAGTGGGGACACCATGGGGCTGCTCTACCCAGGAAACCCTAGCTGGGTTCCAAGATCACCAGCAATTTGCTGACTGAGTCCCAGAGAGAGTTGCCCTGGGGTCACTCAGGGGGCTATTGGTGGGGACGCCCCCTAAAAAGAATCAGGGAGCATCTGAGAGGTGCCCCTGTCTGCCTCCATGCCCTGCTTCCCAGCACAAGCCGCCTTTGGAATCTCCGAGGCAGACCCTACTTTCTTTCCCTGGACCCCATTCCCCATGCTGGAACTGCAGTGGAAGGGGCATTGCTTTTCTTTTTTTTTTGAGACGGAGTTTCGCTCTTGTTACCCAGGCTGGAGTGCAATGGCGCGATCTCGGCTCACCGCAACCTCCGCCTCCTGGGTTCAGGCAATTCTCCTGCCTCAGCCTCCTGAGTCGCTGGGATTACAGGCACGCGCCACCATGCCCAGCTAATTTTTTGTATTTTTAGTAGAGACGGGGTTTCACCATGTTGACCAGGATGGTCTCGATCTCTTGACCTCGTGATCCACCCGCCTCGGCCTCCCAAAGTGCTGGGATTACAGGCGTGAGCCACCGTGCCCGGCCAGGGGCATTGCCTTTCCAGAGTTGTTCATGTCAAACCTCACCACATGGGCACACCCTTTCTACCTGTCCTCACCACCTCTTCCTGTCTCTGACAGATTGTGGGCCCCAGGAGAGCAGCAACCATGACCTGAACCCAACATTGTAACATGACAATTTTCTTTTCTCTTCTCTTCTCCTTCTTTACCTCCTTCCTTCCTTCCTTCCTTTTTTTGAGACAGATTCTCACTGTGTTGCACAGGCTGGAGTGCAGCGGTACAATCTCGGCTCACTGCAACCTCTAACTCCCAAGTTTAAGTGATTCTCCTGCCTCAGCCTCCTGAGTAGCTGGGACCACAGGCATCCACCACCACGCCCAGCTAAATTTTGTATTTTTAGTAGAGATGGGATTTTTGCCATGTTGGCCAGGCTAGTCTCGAACTTCTGACCGCAGGTGATCCACCCGCATTGGCCTCCTCAAGTGCTGGGATTACAGATGTGAGCCACCACACCTGACCAAATGTTTTTTTTTTTTTTTCCTAATTAAAAAAATTTTTTTGGCCAGGCATGGCGGCTCACACCTATAATCTCATTGCTTTGGGAAGCCGAGGCAGGAGGATGGCTTGAGGCCAGGTGTTTTAAGACCAGCCTGGGCAACATAGCAAGACCTCCATCTGTGCCAAAAAAAAATTAGCCAAGCATGGTGGTGTGTGCCTGTAGTCCTGGCTACTCGGGAGGCTGAGGGAGGAGGACCACTTGAGCCCAGGAGGTCAAGGTTGTAGTGAGTTATGATTGCACCACTGCATTCCAGCCTGGACGACAGAGTGAAACTATCTCAAAAACAGTTTTCTAGAAATTATTTTTATTTTTAGGGCTAAGTTTCTGTCTGGTGGGACAGGACAGATGGGGTACCCGTAACAATGTTCTTTCTTTCGTTTTTTTTCTTTCTTTTTTTTATTTTTTATTTTTTATTTATTTTTTATTTTTTATTTTTTTTGAGACGGAGTTTCGCTCTTGTTACCCAGGCTGGAGTGCAATGGCGCGATCTCGGCTCACCGCAACCTCCGTCTCCTGGGTTCAGGCAATTCTCCTGCCTCAGCCTCCTGAGTCGCTGGGATTACAGGCACACGCCACCATGCCCAGCTAATTTTTTGTATTTTTAGTAGAGACGGGGTTTCACCATGTTGACCAGGATGGTCTCGATCTCTTGACCTCGTGATCCACCCGCCTCGGCCTCCCAAAGTGCTGGGATTACAGGCTTGAGCCACCGCGCCCGGCTCTTTTTTTTAGAGACAGGGTTTTGCTCTGTCACCCAGGCTGGAGTGCAGCGGCACCATCATAGCTCACTACAGCCTCCAACCCCTAGGCTCAAGGGATCCTCCCACCTCAGCCTCCTGAGTACCTGGGAGTGTAGGCGGGTGCCATCACATCCAGTTAATTAAAAAACATTTTTTGTTGTTGTTGTCGAAGAGATGGAATCTGGCTATGTTGCCCAGGCTGGTCTCTAGCTCTTAGCTTCAAGTGGTCCTCACACCTCAGGCCTCCCAAAGTCATAGGATTACAGGCGTGAGTTACCACGACCAGCTAATTTTTGTATTTTCAGTAGAGACGGGGTTTCACCATGTTGGCCAGGCTGGTCTCAAACTCCCAACCTCAGGTAATCTGCCTACCTCTGCCTCCCAAGTGCTGGGATTACAGGCATGAGCCACAGCGCTGGCCCCCAGAGAGTAGATTTTAAGTGTTCTCACCATACACAAAAAAGATAAATATTCAGGGTGATATATATGTTGTTAATAAGCTTGATTTGGCTAGGCACGATGGCTCACACCTGTAATCCCAGCACTTTGGGAGGCCAAGGTGGGAGGATCTCTTGAGCCCAGGAGACTAACCTGGGCAGCACGGCAAAACTTTGTCTCTACAAAAAATACAAAAATTAGCCAGGTGTGGTGGCTCACACCTGTGGTCCCAGCTACTCGGAAGGCTGAAGGGGGAGCCTGGACAGTTAAGGCTGCAGTGAGCCATGACTGCACCACTGCACTCCAGCCTGGGTGACAGAGACCCTGTCTCAAAAATAAAATAAAATGAATTTTAAAATTATAAAAATTTTTTAAAATGAACTTGATTTAGCCATTCCACATGGTACAGATATATTAAGGCATCATGCTGTACACTATATATATACACATACAATTTATGTATGTAAATATATAATGTATAATTCTGTTACATATAAATATATCCAATTTAGTATATAAAACAAATAGTATATATATAAATATATAATTTATGTAATATATAATACCTTATATAAATATGTAAATATATAATAAATATATAATATAAATACATAAATATATAAGATATATAATATACCTATGTAAAAATGATAAATATAATATAAATTATTCATATTCATATAGTATATGTTATATAAATATAATTGTGTAATATGTTTATCAATGTTATATAAAAATTAAATTTTTATGTAACATTATAAAATATATTAAAAATTTAAAAATTATTTAATAGATATTTAGTATATAAATGTGTTTAATATTATATATTTAATAAATATGTAATATATAATTGTTTATGTAATTATATACTATTGTTTATATAATTATATAATGTTATAAATATATCGATTTCCAATAATTATATAAATATATTTATTTATATATACATAGATACATAATATAAAATATGTAATATAAATATATATTATATATCATTACATATGATACAATATGTTATAATATAATGTATTATATAAATATGATATAGGCCGGGCGCGGTGGCTCAAGCCTGTAATCCCAGCACTTTGGGAGGCCGAGGCGGGTGGATCACGAGGTCAAGAGATCGAGACCATCCTGGTCAACATGGTGAAACCCTGTCTCTACTAAAAATACAAAAAATTAGCTGAGCATGGTGGCGCGTGCCTGTAATCCCAGCTACTCAGGAGGCTGAGGCAGGAGAATTGCCTGAACCTAGGAGGCGGAGGTTGCCGTGAGCTGAGATCGTGCCATTGCACTCCAGCCTGGGTAACATGAGTGAAACTCCGTCTC